AACCACTACGACACCAGCCAGTACAGACACCAGCCATTCTCTCTCGTCTGCAGCTAGAGTCAACACCAACCGTCACCTATGTCTATACCTCCGACTGCAATTTCTACAGATAACGCAGCAAATATTGGGGGTCGTTTCATATGTGAAAGAGTTAAAAGAGTTATTTTTCAAGCCCTAGTTACCTATTGTAATTTCAAAGTTTTGTTTGGCCCTTGTTTGAGCTCCATTTTAAGGGAAATAATGCATTTTTAAAGAGTGATTGATGAAAAATGTGTAGTTAAAAATGAAGGAAAAATTTTGAATTTGCGTATAGTATTATTTTATAAAAGAATAAGTGGTTTAAAATGAATTTTGAAAAGAATAAGGCTCAAACAAGGGTAAAGGCTTTAGTCTATAGCCTTTGTCTTCAGTTTTGTTTTGGGCCTCCGTTTATTTCCCTGTTTTGCCTATTTGTTCAGTTAGAAGGTTTATTTAAAAAGTGAAAAAATGGGGATTTTTATTTTTTTTAAAAGAGATTTTTCTAACCTTATTTTTAGGTACCTCTTTTTATTTTGGCTGATTGACACAGCGTCTCAATGAGCAAAAGAAAAGTTAGTACTTTTATTTTTTATTGGTTTATATTATTGTTTCGTTTAAGATTGCATCAATGAAATTTTGTACTGTTGTTAATTATTTTACCTAAAATCACGTGATTGAATCGTTTACTTGTTAAACCCCACTTTTATACCCCTTATTTTAAGTGATTAGATTTTGACTAGAAATTGACCTATCGCTTTGTTATTTTACATATATTAGAAGTATTAGCTTGCCATATTTGGATTTATTTAATCTCAAACTTTTAATTTAAATGCTCAAGTTGCTACTTTTCCTATTTTTCGTTACTTGCACTTGTTGTCCATTAATCTCCCCATCGCACGTCATTTAGTTGGTAATACATTGTATGAAGTTACGTAGTGGTCGTTTTGTCACTTCTAGTTTTAGTACCTTAACCATGAACCCCTCACAATTCGATGCATTCACCTGACAAATAATAGCTATCCAACTCCAAATGACTATAACTCTTGAAGAAAGTAGAGGTCTAGTTGCTAGTCTGAACAATTTTAAGCAAATCCCTCACTCGACTAATAATGATAATTCTGAAGTGCCCCATAATAGACAATATCGTTGTCGACAAGGTGATCAAAAATGTTTTCGACACTGTAGGGATAGAAATCAGGTTCGTGAGTGAGAACGAGGCTATAATCATCACGAAACTCGTTCCCTTCCTCGTCATAAGAAGAGTTTCTTAGAGACATCAAATTAGATAATCCTACTTTTTAAGGTTGCTTAGATCTTAAAACTCTAACCCAATGGGGTACCCTTACATAAAGGAATTGGTTAGTGACTGAGTAATTGCTCAATTTGAGGAATTTCAAATGAAATATCATATCATTGAGGATGAGGCCTTTACTTTAAATAAGTTTAAACAGGGTCTAAGAGAGGATTCCTTTGAGATATCACTACTCTTGATCATGCGTACTTTTTAGCTCGAGATGAGTTATTTATTAATATTTCATATGAAAAGCGCGATCATCATCGTTTATCCATCTCATTAGCATCACACTATCATAAGTCTATCATAGAGCCTTCCTGTCTAATGTTCCTCTCATTTGGGAAAATAAGTGTAAAGGTCGTGATATTTCAAGGCCATCTTTATATAGAAGGTGTATTGACAATCATCCTTTTGTTTTATTGGAAGATTAATCGGCCAAAATAACCATGAGCGGCTACGATATTATAAGTTTCTTCCTCTTGACCGAATCTGTAACCTACATTAGCAGATTCATTTTCCGTGGTTTCCCTGATCAAGCTAGAAGTTACCAAGGAACCATGCAGTGCTTCAACTGTAAGGACTTTGGCCATAAATGTTCTAAACGAGTCTTAGTCATTGAGGAACGAAAGAATGTTATAGATGAGCTGTTAGAAGATCTAGTTTACAAACCTAAACTTGAAGATTCTGATGATTTAGATGATAGTGAAGACACCTCCTTAGGTGTTATCCGGACCCTTCTGGAGAAACTAGATGTTATATCTCTTCTTTTTGATACCTCTCAGTCAAGTGTTGTATATTGTATTCTTAACCAACCTAAAGGTACTGATGATTTACGTAATCATGCCATATTTAAGGAAAATCTTGGGAGTTAGGATTTAATCTTCCCAACGCTTCAAATTACACA